TAACTGGATGTCAACATGTAAAAGATTGCAAATAGATCCGTATCTGTTATCATGCATAAAACTCAAGTCCAAGTGGATCAAAGACCTCAACATAAATCCAGTTACACTGAAATTGATAGAAGAGAAAGTAGGAAGTACTCTTGAACGCATTGGCACAGGAGATCACTCCCTAAATATAGCACCAGTAGCACAGACACTGAGAGAAACAATTAATAAATGGAACCTCTTAAAACTGAGAACTTTTGTAGGGCAAAAGACACGGTCAGTAAGACAAAAAGACAGCCTACAGAATAGAAAAAAGATCTTCACCAACCCCACTTTTGACAGAGGGCTGATCTCCAAAGTATATAAAGAACTCAAGAAACTAGACATCAAAATACTGAACAATCCAATTAAAAAATGGGTTACAGAGCTAAACAGAGAATTCTCAAAAGAATCTCAAATGGCTGAAAGACATTTAAGGAAAGCTCAACATCCTTAGTCATCAGAGAAATGCAAATCAAAACGACTCTGAGATACCATCTTACACCTGTCAGAATGGCTATGATCAAAAACACTAATGAAAGTCTATGTTGGAGAAGATGCGGAGCAAGGGGAACACTCCTCCACTGTTGGTGGGAGTGCAAACTTGTACAGTCACTGTGGAAATCAGTATGGTGGCTTCTGAGAAAATTGAGAATTGATCTACCTCAAGACCCAGCCATACCACTCTTGGGTATATACCCAAGAATGCTCAATCATACCACAAAGATACATGCTCAACTATGTTCATAGCAGCATTATTCATAATAGCCAGAACCTGGAAACAACCTAGATGCCCTTCAACTGAAGAGTGGATTAAGAAAATGTAGTACATATACACAATGGAGTACTACTCAGCAGAGAAAAACAATGACATCATGAAATTTGCAGGCAAATGGATGGAACTAGAAAAAAAATCATCCTGAGTGAGGTCACTCAGGACTCACAAAGACAACAAACATGGTATGTACTCACTCATAAGTGGATACTAGATATAAAGCAAAGGACAATCAGACTGCAACCCACAGAACCAGGGAGGCTACATAGCAGGGAGAACCCTAAATTGACTGTGGCTTATAATAAGTTTTGGTTTTGCCTGATCACTGGGCAAGCTTTAGTGAAACATTTCACTATTAGGATAAGAATTTGTACCGTATCAAGCTGATGAAAGAATATGTGGCTGTACTTTCAGGAGGGGAGGCTAAAATCTTTTTAGATTATGGATTAGCCTATAGAAAAATGTCTGCCGTAAATCAAACAGTGGCCGGGCGGTGGTGGCGCACGCCTTTAATCCCAGCACTTGGGAGGCAGAGCCAGGCGGATCTCTATGAGTTCGAGGCCAGCCTGGGCTACCAAGTGAGTTCCAGGAAAGGCGCAAAGCTACACAGAGAAACCCTGTCTCGAAAAACCAAAAAAAAAAAAAAAATCAAACAGTGAAGGGGAAGATGAATAGGAATCTCACTTACACAACTTAAGTAAAACATAGCTCTCTGAACAGATGAAGATAGGTTTCTTCTGTATCCCAAAATCTAATCAATATTTATATGTATAATTCAGCTATTATTTGGCTTAAAAGGGCTTAATGGGAAATGTTAGCACTTTTACTATTTTCTACAGAGAAAATATTTTCCAGTTTCAAGTAACCATGGAATTTTGAATTATAACCTCTTTTTATGTTCAAGCTATCTGTATATTATTTCTCCTGTAGTTGTACATAAAATGCTTTTACATTAAAAAAGGACAACTACTATAGAATTGTATTACATGAAATATATAGAATATACAAATTCATAGAGACAGAAAGATTAGATGTTATCTCAAGATGGAGAAGAAAGGAATATACAGCAATGATTTCTTAAGTACAGAATCTCTGTTTTGTGTAATGGAAAAGTCCCACAAATGGACAGTAGTAAAAGGACATCATAATATGACTGTAATAAATCAATACAATTAATGTAATTAATGAATATCACATAGTTATTGAATAAAAAAATAAAATGGGCAACTTTATATTAGAATGCATATTTTTACCAACTAAAAGGTAAAACAAATAGCCATTTAAAAAGTGCAATAAGGACTGGGGAGATGGCTCAGTTGTAACACAAATCTTAAAAGGTCTTATAATAAAAACCCAGAGCTAGATATTGGGGAGAAACTGAGAGATCAGAGAGAGAGAACAAGTCACAACTAACTTCACCTCGACAACTCCTCAGCGATCCTGTTTCGACAAATTCTCAGATTGAAAGCCTCACCCCTGAGGGTCTCAATTGAACTGCTTAAAAGCCTCTAGTTCCTAGTCCTCAAGCCTTATATACCTTTCTGTGTCCTGCCATATTATTTCCTGGGATTAAAGGCATGTGTGCTTCCCAAACCAAGACATGAGATCTCTACTGCTGGGATTAAGGGTGTGTGTCACCATGCCTGGCTTTGTTCCTAGTGTGGCCTTTGTTCCTAGTGTGTAGTCACAAAGATCCATAGATCTGCCTCCTGAATGCTAGGATTAAAGGCATGTGCTACCACTGCCTAACCTCTATGTTTAATATAGTGGCTGTTCTCTTCTCTGACCCCCAGATAAGTTTATTGGGGTGCACAATATATCAATCACACTTGCACAGGACTCAGGTTCAATTCCAGCACTACATGGTGATTCATAAACATCTGTAACTCCAGTTCCTGCTCTCTTCCGACCTCCGTGGGCACCAGGCATGCATGTAGCCGTAAAACATACATGCATGCAAAACATTCATACACAGAAAATTTAAAAATAAATCTTTAAGCCAGGCGATGGTGGCATGCACCTTTAATCCCAGCACTTGGGACACAGAGGCAGGTGGATCTCTGTGAGTTTGAGGCCAGCCTGTTCTACAGAGCATGTTTCAAGACATCCAAGGCTACACTGAGAAACCCTGTCTCAAAACAAACAAACAAACAAACAAACAAAAAAACAGTAAATAAATCTTTAAAATAAAAAGGCACAATAAAACTACTGAACTACTGAAAACATACACCACAATAAGAATAGTCTTTTTGAAGTCAGCCTGGTCTACAGAGTGAGTTCCAGGACAGCCAGAGCTGTTATACAGAGAAACCCTGTCTCAAAAAACAAAACAAACAAAAGTCTCAAATAGATTATACTGGGCAAAAGAGGCCAGATACAGATACAAAGGGTGCATACATGATTCCATATGGCCCTTCACAGGGCATCAGGCTCTTTCTAGAAGTGTCAGCTCTTAGCAGACTGAACCCAGATACATGAAAGAAAAAAAGTCAATATCATCTACAAGCAAGGAAAGGAAATGGGTGGTTTCCAAAGGCTTCAGGTGGGACCTGGCTTCACAGCGACCCCCAGAACTACTAGGGTTACATCAAGATGCTATTGGTTCATCAAGAGGCTGGGTGTAAAGATGTATGTGGAGCTGGAGAGATTACTCAGCGGCTAAAAGCACTTGCTGCTCTTGCAGAGGACCTGGGTTCCCAGCACCCACATCCTGAAGCTCACAAACGCCCAGTTCCAGAGGATCCCATACCCTCTTTAGGCTTCCATGGGGCACCTGCATGCAGGTGACGCACATACACGTATTTTGTTGTTGTTGTTTAAAATAGTGTTTCAGGCCCGGCGGTGGTGGCGCACGCCTTTAGTCCCAGCACTTGGAAGGCAGAGCCAGGCGGATCTCTGTGAGTTCGAGGCCAGTCTGGACTACCAAGTGAGTTCCAGGAAAGGCGCAAAGCTACACAGAGAAACCCTGTCTCGAAAACAAAAAACAAAACAAATAAATAAATAAATAAATAATAAATAAAATAGAGTTTCAGGCCAGCCTGGATAACATGAGGCCTTGTCTCAAAAAAACAAAATCAAGAAACAGATGGGGAAATTCACCACGTCAATGAATAACATGAATATGAGTCTTTCCTTTTTCTTCCTACAATTGGTTTGGCCCAGTTTCAAACTTTTTGTTCCCGAGCTCGGCACCTAGCAAAGAGGTAAAGCGAACCCAGCAACTGACATGTGAGAAGAATCTGCCTAGCCCAGGGAGAGTCCACACAGGCCCCGCCCCTCGTTTGAGGCCCCGCCCCCAGGCCAGGCCCTCGGCACGCCCCTGCCCGTCCGCCGCTCCTCACGTTGAAGGCCGGCAGCTGCCCTTCCGGCGCGCGGTGTAACTCGCGGACGAGCTCCATAGCTTTTTCGCAGAACATGACGGACGCTCCTGGGTCCCGCGGTCCTGTCAACTGCCAAGCCACGCCAAACGGTCGCTGTGCTCTCGGCCGCGGCACTTCTATTGTTCGGAGCCCCACAGCGCTCAGCCGCTCCTCCTCGCTTTGGCGCCAAACAGGCTCAGCCAATGGAAGGGCGCTGTCTGATGGGGGTGGGGCCCTATGGCAGCCGAGCGGGGACATTTGACCTCATTGAGTAGCCGCACTGGGAGTCAGGGAAAGGAGGGGTTAAGAGGATGATTTTTCCCTGGCAAAGCCGGGCAAGTCAGATGCGTCCGAGACCCTAAGCTGAACCAAAGAGCTGTTTTCGATTGTGCAGCAAAGTAAAGTGCACATTCTTCCCTTCTTTTTATTTTTTCTATTTGAGTTAATTGTCTTTAGATTCCAAGGGGAACCTTCAAGTTAAGAGGAAAAGTGGAGAAACTAGTTGTGACGCAGTGTTTCGTTTTAGCTCTGCAGTGCCGGTTGTTTGACATTGAA